AATAATAATAATAATAGACTTTAGTCGCTTTAAATTTTGGAACAGGAAAACCTTGCTTTAAGGCTTCAGTTAATAACCCGTTAGGATGGATAATTTTCCAAGATGAACTGAAATCACCCCTCCTCTTCCAAAATAGCAGTAACAGTACCAGCACCACCAAACACTACAACAGCAGCAGCAGCAGAATGGGTGGAGTGGAAAAAATTATTTTGTGAAGGCCACTTTCCAAAATACAAAAGGTGAGCCAAAAGGGGAGGAAGGCTTTTAATCCTCCTGGATGTATTACTTAGGCAAGTAATTCCATCAAGATTGTTTTGCATTCATTAAGGGAGACAAAGATAGTAGAGACTTAAAATTCCAAACAATCACCCAAGATCTTCTTATCCAGTTGCTAGCTTGTGTAGGAAAAGTAGCCGATGAGAAACAGATGAGAAACCCCCGAGTCTAAGCAGGGTTTAAATTACAAACATACAAAATTGCTGCCCAACAGCCTGGTATATAAATTGAGGCCTATGACAAATCCTACCATTTTCACATCTAGCGAATTTAGGGTTAATAAAAATGATTGGAGGGCAGGGGTCTAAGTTCTAATGAAAAGCACAAAAAATTGGAGAGAACATGAACTGGAAACATGAACTGGACGGAACTCTTTTAAAAAGAAGTCCTTCATTCACATCAGTGAGCCTTAGTCCTGAGTAAACCCGCATAAGGATCCGAGGGGTGAGGCTGGCATATCTACCCCACCTATAATAGATGAGATAAACACAGTCTAGATCCCTGATCTGTAAACTGCCTCTAATAGATTTAGTAGCAATAGGTATGGTTTAAATCTGTAAGGAAGCCTTTCAAACCGAAGCACCAATTTTTCCCCCAAATAGATAGGCTTCATCTCAGATGCTAGTAAGCAATCAATGTTCGGCACTAAAAGCAATCCTTAAAACAAACCATTATGTTGAAAATAAATCAATCCGACACGCCATTCACTGAAAAATGATAAAACATTGCCTTCTCTGGCTCTATAAACGGGCTATGGCAGCCCCAAACTCTGCTACTTCACAATGACATAACAGATTAACAGATTGACAACCAACAATAATATTAGTGAAGTGGGAAAGATGTCTAATTTCTGGGCTTCCTTTTACAAAGGAGGGGATGGGACCAACGCCTTAAGGTTCTGGCAGAGCCTTACTGGCCTCTGGCAATCAAGAGACGGCATTGGAAGCAGAAACAAAGTGCTCTGGAATCAGGATCTAGAGATTTGCAGAGTATTTCTATCCCCACGCGCCTTGTTCAGGGTGGAAGCAGAAGAAAACTCTCTCTCTTTTTGAGAGGGCTAAAAAAAAAACCCTCTCAGCTTGATGACTGCAGGATGCTTGTTTGGGAGAGCAAGGCCTCATTCATAAATATTTATATTTGAAATATTTATATCTGGGAGCGAGTCGTCTTGACCCACCCACCAGCCCCGTGGGTTTTACGTCTAGATAAGTATATCTGGATTGTACCCTAAAACCCTTCGATTGAAGTGTCAGTGATCTACCAAGCAAGTGCACTGCCACCTGAACATGAAAGAAAGGCAACTACTCAAAAAGTATATCGAAAAGTACAAGGAGAATAGGAGAAATTGAAACCAGTCTACCTCGGCCAGACCGACGTTCTCTTCTTTAATGTGCTTTTTGGAGGGGTGGGGAAGGGCTTGGTTTTCACGGGTTTTCCTGAAACTGGCTTGTTTCACCTCCGGGGTGAATTATGAACTAGGAGTCAAGAAAGAGCTTTCCTGAAAGCCTATGACATCACACAATTGTAGGTTATTCTTCCCATTAATGGTCATTTACATTTAAAATAGCCCTCCCCACCCGGCACCCACCCGTATTTCCTCTCCAAGACACAAAATCACGAGCCACTTCCTCCCCCTCCCCGATGCTGAAGGAAAAACAGCTGAACAGGAGAAAGTTTAGGAAGTCACAAAAAGGCCCAGCCGGTCGTTAACAGCTGCCCTCTTTTTTGCATTGTTGTGGTGTAATTATCTTGAAACCATGACGTCGCAGTCCTTCCACCCCAACAGACACACACACACACACACACACACACACACACGTGCACATGCACACAACAACCTTATCTCAACCCCATTTCCCCCGCTACAGAAGGAGTCCACCCTGGTTATGAAAAAGAAGTCAAGAGAGCCACGCACCTCGGCTGTATCTTCGCACCTTCTTTCGTACTTCTTTCTCTTCCTGTTCCCGTTAACAGTCCAACTTCGGGCTCAGGACCCTTGGCAACAAGTGGTTGTTTCTTCCAGAAGCAATACTTCTTGACCCTTAAGTTCATAGTGTTAGCCTTATTGTGATTATTATTGTTATCACTGTTATTGTTGTTGTTACGCCTACAATTCCCGCTGCTCCGAGAAGAACATAAAAGTAACTTCCAGACAGATGCAGTAACCATATGCGAAAGATTTATAATTTTCTAAACGCTCCTGAGCCATAACAAATTTCAGGCCTGGCGTATTTTAATTGGAACCTTCAGTACTGAAATTACCCTGTAAAAAGAAAACTCAAAAGTTGTCTTCTGTCTATAGTTCTTTGTGGTACAAATGACTGTTTATCACAGGTAGTTATAACATTCCCTCATGCAGCATGGATTCAATTTTAGAAATAATATCACGGCCTGCTTTCTCAAAATAAAATCAAGCACTACATGGAATTTCTGTGTCCATATTTCAAAAATTTATTTATCTCAAACTGTGCATAATGGAGTAAAAACTTAATTCAAATATGTACCTGTTTATAGGATGGTATTAGTTCAAATATATGTGTGTGTATATATACATATACATGTATATACATACATGTGACTATATGTATACATACATGGCCTGCCGGCGGACTGATTTCAGATAATACACAGCCGAGTCTTTAAAATACAACTACGGGAAATGAGGAGGGACAAAAATAAAAGAACTTAAAATATTGTCACAATAATTTTACAGAAATATTACAAACCATAAGAAAATATTTCAAACACAATAATTTCAGATTGCTGTTTTGCTGTTGTTTCAACTGAACAGGACAAAGTCTGGAAACAAAAAGGGCTAATTTAAATTAACAAACGTGTGAATCTGCAAGACAATATTTGTTTTTAACAATGTATAAAAAATTTAGTACACCCTAAACTTTTGCCCTTTTATTTAAAAAAGAAAACAGTTCAATGGTATGCCAGTACTTATTCTATTTTTTTTTTGCCTTTTGTACAATTGCTAAAACAATTAAAATGTCCAGATCTTTGTTTTAAAATAAAATTCAACTCCCTTTTTTTGTTGCTACTATAAATCCCTCTGCAATTATTACAGCGTCTTAAGTAGACTCTGTTGTATTTTAAAAATAATTGGCAAATTCTCAAGTTCTTTCTCTCCTTCTCTGTCCTTTTTTTTAATATAAACAATGGACTTTTCGATTGCCATGTTTATTTTGATAAATACTGTACAAAAGTTGCTTGCAAATAATAAAACATTTCCCGCACCGTTCCTTGGTAGTCCTCCCTTTTTCCCCCCCTCCCCCTTTCCTACCACACTTTCTGGAGTCTACCTCTAAAGATTATTGGTCAAGACGGTTCCCTTTCTCTTTTTTTCCTTTCTTTAAAAAAACAAAACAACAACAACCAGCCACCCTTTCTGCAAAATATTGTTTCCACGGGAACTTCTGGGAGGAGGGAGCTGGGAGGAGGGAAAACACGTTTCCAAAAGAGAGGTCAGAGAAAAAGATCTATACACGTTCCTCCGTGGGTTCTGATTTTGCATGTG